TATAGTTTTCTTTCTCTGTTTTTGCTCTTCCTGGTTTAGACATCAGCACCATATTTGTGTCACGAAAGGAATTTGGTAGAACTCTTTCTTCACCTATTTTTCTAAACAGTTTGTATAGTATTAGAATTGTTCTTTAAATGTTTCGTAGAATTCGCTTGTAAACCCATCTGGCCCTGGGGATTTTTTCATAGAGTTCATTGATGTCTTATTCGATTTATTTTTTTGTTTGTTTGTTTGTTTTTTTTTCAAATAAAATGATTAATGGAAATCTCTGTAGGGTGAAGTGAATCAGAACCCTCAATCTGAGCTCCTTGTTTTGTAGAACTCTACATGTTTAGCCAGCAATTCAGCTCAGCACCTGGAGCTGATATTGAAGGAAGTCTTTCTGCCAGCTAATACTAAGAGAGACCAGAATCTTATATTTATTTACACACAAGCAACCATAAATCTCTGAACTGCTTTAAAGAACTGCCTTAAAGATCCTCCCATGCATGCTTTCTAGACTATTTTGCTTTAAATATATATATATATATATAATTTATTTATTTATTTTTAGTTTTCAACATTCACTTCCAAAAGATTTTGAGTTTTAAATTTTCTCCTCCTTCCTCTCCTCCCTCTCTCCAAGACAACGTGCAATCTGATATAGGCTCTACTTAGACATTCATATTAAGCATATTTTCACATTAGTCATGATGTAAAGAAGAATTAGAACTAATGGGAGGAACCATGAGAAAGAAGAAACAAAACAAAACAGCAAAAGAAAAAGAGAGCAAATAGTATGCTTCCATCTGCATTCAGACTCCGTAGTTCTTTCTCTAGATGTGGATAGCATAGTATTCCATTGCAGTCATATACCACAACTTGCTCAGCCATTCCCCAATTGATGTGCATCCTCTCAATTTCCAATTCTTTGCCACCACAAAAAGAGCTGCTATGAATATTTTTGTACATGTGGGTCCTTTTCCCATTTGTACGATCTCTTTGGGATACAGACCTAGAAGTGCTATTGCTGGGTCAAAGGGTATGCATATTTTTATAGCCCTTTGCACATAGTTCCAAATTGCTCTCTAAAATGGTTGGCAGTGTATTCTTTTTAAAGCATATTTTGTACCTCCTTCTCAGTAAACTCCAGTGGCTCCCAGTCACCTTCAGGATCAAATATAAAATCCTGTTTGGTATTCACAGCCCTTCATAACCTATCTTCCTCTCCTGCTTTTCCAGTCTTCTTATACATTATACCCTTCCCCACCTCCAAATACTTTGTGATCCAGAAGCAAGACACTCAATCTCTCAACTTTGGGTTATTTTCACTGGCTGCCCCCCATGCCTGAAATTCTCTCTCCCCTCAATTCTGCCTCCTGTCTTCCTGGCTTCCTTCAAGTCCTAGGTAAAATTCCACCTCAACAGGAAGCCTTTCCCAATCCCTCTTATTTCTAGCACCTTTTGTCTGATGATTATCCTGCAGTTTGTTTGTACATAGTTGGTTGCATATTGTCTTCCCTATTACATTGTGAGGACAGGGACTTTCTTTTGCCTTTCTCTTTATCCTCAGTACTGAACAAAGTGCCTGGCACATAATAGGTGCTTAATAAATGTTTATTAACAATGAATCACTAGCAGCATAAGAAAAAGGAATGAGTCAAAAGTGATTAAGGTTTAATTCCATGGTACTTAAATTGATTAAGTTATTAAATCATTCCCATTAACAAAATGAGAGAAGTTGGAAGCAGAAGCTGGTTTTGTAGATGATTAGTTCTTTTCTTACTAGGAAGTGTTTTAAGAAGATCCTGACTGAGCTTGCCTCAGTTTCTAGGTCAGCTTATAGTCTCCTGTGTGCTGGTACATCATATTGATCTTCCTGCTTATCTGTTCAGATGCTTAACCTATTGCTTTGCTTTAGTCTCTTACAACTTTATGCTCCTTAACTTTGTCATGTGTTCTGAATTTCAGATTCACTACTTTTGATATGACCTCTGATAGAAGCAGGCAAGTAGGAAGAATGAAAATGCTGTTGGAGCAGCTAGGTGGCACAGTGGGGATAGAGCACCGGCCCTGAAGTCAGGAGGACCTGAGTTCAAGTCCAGGCTCAGACCAAACACTTGACACTTACTAGCTGTGTGACCTTGGGCAAGTCACTTAACCCCAATTGCCTAAAAAAAAGAAAAAGAAAAGAAAATGCTGTTGTTTCTGGCAGCCTACATGGCCTGTGAGTTTTTCTTTCCTTCTTTCTTCCTTTCCATTCCTCCCTCCCTTCCTCCTTCCTTCCCTCTTTCTCTCTCTCTCTCTGTCTCTCTGTCCTCTCCCTCGTCCCCTCCCTTTTTCTTTCTTCTTTGCTGAGTAGTTTGCTTTTTAAGGATAAAAAGATATTTCCCTTAATTTCTCTTAACTGATATTTGGTAGTCTGCAATCTGCATGAATTTCTATCCATACTATGATAAACAGATATCCATATTCATCCAGACACACTTTATTTTTTGGAAACAGTTGAACCAGATAATCTACTTTGTGTATTAACTTATTCCACAAGCATTTATTAAGTGTTTAATATGTACTAGCCTCTGCGAATACAATAACCAAAAGAGAAACAGTGCCTGGTTTAAGGAAGGGAGGGGAGAATGATAAAACATATAAATGATAAAACATACAGAGATAAATAAATACACAAAACATGCAAAATAAATGCAAAGTAATTGCTGGAGTGAGGAATGATACTAATAACTGAGAGAATTAGGAAGATCCCTTTGAGGAGTTGGCATTTGAGCTGAGCCTTGAAGGGAGTTATAGATTCCAAGAAGTCTAGGAGGGGAGACTTCTGGAATCACATATAGTTATCAAAGTCAAGAAATCCTGACTTGTTGGAGAGGAAATATAATGCAAGTGTGGTACTGGTCAAATTCTTATTTTTCACTTGCAAACATATTTGTCACATAAGGTATAAAAGATTCTTTCCTTAAGTAGACCAGGAAAAAGGAGACTGAAGTCACTGACCCCAAGCTGGCATCTCAGATATCACTAGTGTTCCCAAAAAGCTATATTATACAGTAAAATTAAATTAAATTTAAAAAATTTTTAAATCCAGTTTTCATTGTTCTTTCACAGTCAAAAGTACATGGGGCCATTCTTAGACAAAGTAGTGACTCTCCTACTTCTCCCTCCCCTCTTCTTTTTTAAAACAGGAAAGAACCCAAGAGCAGCCACTTTTTTTAATAGTACCGATTTCAATCAATTTATTCTATGTAGGAGACATTTGCATCTTAAACCTTACTCTGTAATTATGGAACAAATTACATTGTTCCATTAAAGGGATTTGAACCATCAGTAAGCATATGGGGGAAATATCCGAGGGGCTAAAGAGAATTTCCTGAGTCCACTTAAATTATACTACAACTACTCCTCCTAAGGCTGTGAAGGTAAGCTGGCCTTGATCAATGAAAGATAGAAGGCAGGGTTACAAAGGACAATCTGGTTTTTAAAGAGGCATCATGGTATAGTGGAATGAACGATGAATTTAGATACAGAGGAAGTGAGTTTGAGTTCTGGAACTGGTACTTAACCTATGTAACCTTGGAGAAGGGGGCAGATAGATAGGAAGATAGAAGGGGGCAGTCCCAGTAGATAGAGTACTAGGCCCAGAGTAAGGAAAACTCCTCTTCTTATCTGGCTTCAGGCACTTACTAGCTATATGACCCTGGGCAAGTCACTTAAATCTGTTTTCCTCAGTTTCTTCGTCTGTAAAACGAGCTGGAGAAGGAAGTGGAAAACCAACTCCAGTATTTTTGCCAAGAAAACCCCAAATGGGGTCACAGACAGTGGGACACAACTGAATGACAACAAAACTTGGAGAAGTCATTTAACCTTTGGAACCTCATTTTTCTCATACATAAAATGACGTTTGACTAAATGGTATGTAAGGACCTTTGAATCCCTAAATCTAGGAATCTGTGATCCTCCCCAGACTCTCACCATTTTTCTCCTGGCAAAGGTGAGCCACATGTGACTTCAGCATCTAGAAATCTTATTCTTAGAAGTTGATTGGGATGGAGGACCACCTTCCCTATTGGCTTCCCAGTGGTGCCACTTTAATGCCTTTCCCTCATCCATATCCACACAAGTATGCGGTTAACTCCAGCCAGATCATCCATAGCTTGAAATCCTTCTAAAACAGATCTCTTAAAGCAGTAGCAGAGGGTAGCTGGTCATACTATCTGTGGACCCACTTTAGATGAATGAGTGGACAGATCAGAGTAATGAAGAAGAGAATTAGAGAAGAGAGCATGGCACTTTAGTCCTGGGCCATTTTGAAGAGAGGGGAATGCAGTGGTACAGAAACCACCACTAAAACTTTTTTCTTTGAAAGTGAGAATATTGATGTTTATATGAATGGCCAAGATGCACATTCAGCTTTATGAGTTATTGATGAGGGGCAGCTAAGTGGTGCAGTGGATAGAGCACCGGCCCTGGATTCAGGAAGACCTGAGTTCAAATCTGGCCTCAGACACATAACACTTACTAGCTGTGTGACCAGTCACTTAACCCCATTGCCTAGGCCCCCCGCCCCCCAAAATAAAAAACAAAACAAAACAAAAGAAAATGAGTTATTGATGAAAACTTGAAAATGACACCAATTATAGGTTCTGGGGAGCTGAAGGGGAAAAAAAGGAAACATTTTGTTTGTATAAAAGGATTAGTAATTATCATTTAAGTGAAGCTTCTTGCTATTTATTCCTTGTTTTCATGCAGCACAATGACAATTATGTTTATTATTAAAGATGTACCTGATTAATTGTCTGCTTAAATTTTCAGTTACTATACAAATATGCTCTATAATCTGACACCACCCCACTTTTCTTGCTGAGGGTTTGCTAGTATGCATCCCCTGTACTTCACCTTCTCCATATCTTTGCCCACATTGTTCCATACTATCCCTAGGTCATCCACTGTATCCTGGGCCATTGCCAGTCATCTTGACTTTTGTCCTTCAACTGGACTTTGATGACTCTGGAAGAGAGAGTGAAGCTGAGGACTTTGTGCAATCTGCCTTTCTTAAATCCGGTTCACGTGCAAGTCAAGACATAGCTCCATGATGTCATTGGACCTCCTTGAAACAAAGGATGAAGAACAACAGTCCTGTGCCTAGAATACCATCCTGCCCCATCTTTGCTTGCTGAAATCCTACCTAGCCTTCAAGATATAACTCAGGTATCACCTGCAAGATGCTTTTCCTGAGCCTCCCAGTTGGATGTGACTATAGGATCAGAGATTTAGAACTGGAAAGAACCTTAGAAGCCATCTAATCCAAGCTTTATTTTTACAGATGAGAAAATTGAGGCTCAGACAGACTAAATGAGTTATACAGGGTCATACAGCTAGTAAGTGTCAGAAGCAGGATTTGAACATAGGTCTTCCTAGCTCCAGGGTCATTCAGCACTCAATCTACTATGCCATGTTGCCTCTCATTTTTTCCTTCTTCAGAAGAACAGGTCTTCTGCACCTCTTGTTATTTTGCCCTATTAGAATATAATTTCCTGGAGGGCAAGAGATACTTTGCTTTTGTATTTGTATCTTCAGTGCTCAGTGAATAGTAAGCATTTAATAAATGCTTTTCATTCATTCATTCATTCATTCCAATCTAACCTTTATACCAAAATCACATCATCTCAAAAGTAGAAGGAACCCTGTAGTCCATCTAGCTCAACCCATCAACGAATAAGAATCTCTAAAACATACCCAATACCCAACAAGTAATTGTCCAATCATTGCTCCAAAATCTCTACTTAGGGGGAACCTTACCTTCTTGACAGTCTATTCTGCTTTGAGATAGTTCTAATTGTTAGGAATTCATTCTTTATATGAAGTCTAAATTTCCTTCTTCGCCACTTCCTCCCAGTGCCCTTTGGAGCCAAGCAGCACAGGTCTAGCCTCTCTTTTATATGGTAGCAATTCAGATGCTTGAAGATGGCCATTTTGACCCTTCTAAATCTCTTCTTTTCCAGGTTAAGCATGGTGAGTTCCTTCAGTCTGTCTTCCTCTGAATGTACACCATCTTGTTCATTTGTTCTTGATCTCTCCAGTTCATTAATGTCTTTCTTAAAATGTGGCACCCATAACTAAATACTGTACTTCAGTTGTGATCTCATTAGGACAATGTATAGATAGATTATCTCCCTAGTCCTAGACACTGTGCTTTTCTTAATGCAGCCTAGGATCAAATTAGTTTTTTTTTTGTGTTTATTTTTTTGGCTACCTAGTCACACAATTGGCACATACTGAGTTTGTAATCCACTTAAACTCCTGATCTTTTTCAGATGAATTGTTGTGTAGCTATTCCTCTTCTAATGTATACTTGTGCTATTGATTTTTTTTAACCCATATAAAATTTAACATTTTTTCCTAGTAAACTTCATCTTGTATAATGTATGTGGGAAAGTAGGTATATAGGTTAGTAGTTGTTGATAATCTATTAGTCACCTTTTTTCAGTATTAATAAGGTCTAATATTTTTCCATATCTCCAGTATCCTCCTTACCTCCCTTCAAATACTGATGAGAATATTAGTAGGGAACAGAAGATTTTCAAAAACAATGTTCTAAAATGAACCACTTCTTTACCATGATGAAGTTGAATGAAAGATGTAGTCCACCAGAGCCAAATGATTACCTCAAGGACATTTAGGTTGTTATATCTCATTAACTATCTTGGGTATTGTTAAGTTCCTGTTATGCATTTTTTTTTTCTTTCCAGTTCAAAGATTATCCCCCTTGACAGAGAAAACAGACACAAAATTAGTTTGGGATAGTATATATTCTTACCACACCATTTTAGGTGTATTCCATACCTGGCAGTCTTATTTTTGTTCATATGAATCAACACTGCCAGAATGATCTTTTTATGCATAGATTTGGTTATGTCCCCCTTCTGCTGAAATAAACCTTTATTGACTCCTAGTTGCTTGCTAAGTAAATTTCAGACTCCTTTCCTTGTATTCAAGATCCTCTATAATCTGATGTCATCCTGAATTTCTACCATTATTTCACGTTACTTCACAAACAACTGAAGTTGTATGTTCTGTCTCCTGCATTATGCTATTTACATTCTCATTTCTGCCTGGAATATCCTCTAACCTCTTCTTTGTTGAATTCTTACCCATTCTTTAAAACACAGTTAAAATACTATTTCTTGGTGTTTATGCTAAACCCTCTATTGGTAATATGTCTTATCCTTAGACTCCTATAAGTTTGTTTTCAAACAGTCTAAGGTGTTTATATAGTATTTTACTTTTTATTTATCTGTGTTTGGGTATTCTTTGCTAAGGCCCACAAGGGGAGGGACCATGTCTTTCCTGAACTTTTTATCTCCCTCAGTACCTAGCACAATGTTGTCTAAATAGAAGGTGATTAATAAATATTTTTTATCGAATGTAATTTTAACGCTTAACTGCTTATACTGAAACTTGTGAACTTGCTCATGAATATAATAAGCTGTTCAAGAAACACGATCATCAATTCATAACTTAAAGAACAGTTAGAAGTGGGGATTATGTTCCTTACCAAAGAGAAGTCCTAGTAATTAAATCTCCATTTCTAGATAAAATGTAGACTCTTAATTTGTATTTGAGTGGCTTTCTCCTGGTATGCTTATCTTAAAGCCAGGGAAAATGATTAAATAAAGATCATTTGAAAACAGATTTCAAGAGTTTCTATCTTAGCCCATTTCTTATTGATTATTTATATTCTAGTTCTCTATTACTTCTTATTGGGGCTGCTGTTGTTGTTTTCCCTCCTTAGGAGTTACAAGAGCAACTAATTTGTACAATCTCTCTGCTTCCTTGAAACACTTTGACTGTGGCAGCTAGTCTTTAAAAATACTTGTACTGTTCCTTTAAGGAACTCTCTTATTTTATTAACTTTTGGGTAAGGGCTTTGGAAGAGATTGACCTCTGTTAAATTCAATAAAAATGAGTCTTGGTTCTAACAGAAGTGTAGACAATGGAAAGGTGTCTGCATTCATATGTTTTTCTCCAATTCAAGTCAGCAAGCATTTATGAAGCACTTACAATGTGCCAGGTACCATACTAAGTGCTGGGGGTATAAGGAAAGGTGAGCTCACAATCTGTTGGGGGAAGCATCATATAAACGACTATGGACCAACAAGAGATAAAGAGAGGATAACTTGGAGGTTATCTTTTACCAGATCCTTCAGAGTCACAGTTACTTAAAAAGAGAAAACAATCCCAAGAAATTCAGTCATTTCTCTATTATCCATTCTGGTAGAGAGGACCAGAAATGAAGATATTCTAGAAAACCAGCTAATCACCAGTTCACTAGTCTCTTTATTTTGAAACTCCTTTTTGTCTTGGGTCTTATAACACTGTACTATTATTTTTTTTTCTCCTGGCTCTTCTTCCTCTATCTTCCTCTTTCTTACTTCCTATCTAACACCTAAATCTGGATATTTACCATGATTCAGACTTTGGATTATTGTGGGGAATATATTTTGTAAACATTGAAGCACTATGGTAATATGAAATATTATCATTCATATATGTATGGCTAATCTTTTCAACTAAATTATCAGCACTTTGAGAGGTAAGACTGATCTCTAGATACTTCATTAAACCTTATACAGGGCTTTGTACATTATAGTTGTTAGATAAATATTTGTCGATTAAGTTCTATTAGACTGCATGGCATTCTTTGGAATGCCTTATAAACTGAAACCTCAGTTAAGTAAACCTTCTACATATTTAAATTTGATTAAATATTCATTAAGTATCTGCTATGTATAGGACGTTACTGGGCACAAGAGATACAAATAGATGGAGTCTCTATCCTTAAAGAGTTTACAATCTATTATTGGAGTTAGCATATATACACAAATAATTGTAATGCAAATTCAATAATAATTACAAAAGAGATTCCTAGACAAAGTGCCATAATAAATTCAAGAAGGGAGAGAGTCCCTCAGTAAAGGAATCCTGGAAAGTTTCATTAAGTAGATATTGGGTGTTGAGGTGGAGCTTGAAGAAAGGGAATGATTTTCACCTGTTCTGTGCCAGACACTGTACCAAGCACTTTGCAAAGTATTGTCTCATTTTATCCTTATATCAACCCTGTGAGGTAGGTGCTATTATTATCGCCATTTTGCACTTGAGGAAACTAAAACACACAAAACAAGTCAAGTGACTTGCCAAGGGTCACATAGCTTCTGTTGCCAAATCTTTCCTGACCTGCCTCCAGTCTTTGACACTGTTGAGCACCCTCTTTTCCTTAATATTCTCTTCTTCTTCTTCTTCTTCTTCCTCTTCTTCTTTTTTTTTTTTTAGGCAATTGGGATTAACTGACTTGCCCAGGGTCACACAGCTAGTTAGTGACAAGTGTTTGGTCTGAGGTCAGATTTGAACTCAGGTCCTCCTGACTCCAGGGCCGGTGCAATATTTCTCTTCTTTCTAAGTTTTCATGACACTGTTCTCTCCTTACCCTTCAATTTATTTGACCATTTATTTTCTGTCTCTTGTGCTGGATCTTCATCCAGGTCATGCCCAGTAACTGGGGTGTCTCCCAAATTGCTGTCCAACTGACATCATGTTGCAGTTGAGGTCAGCAAAAGTCTTAGACAACTGTACATAAATTCCTTAAATAGACCATTACTGCACAGAAGAGACAAATGGGCATGGGAAGTGCTAGGAGCTCATAGGAGACCTACTCTTCCTTGGATATAGGTATTTAGGAGAGTGCCTAACCATTGAAGTTTTCTGACTATAGCTAGCAGATTATTACAATAAATCTGGTTAAAGTTTAGTGACTAATGTTTACTGTTTGTAGAAGAGCCTTTCAAGGTGATGTTTTCATCAGGCATCCAAATTCAAGTTTTCGTGAATATATCTTGTAGATTGTGATGTTCAGTTATGTAGATAATAATGCAGTGTCATACTGGGTTTGGAAGGCCCATTCCATTCATTGCCATTCATTTACATACAAAACAGTTTATATCCCCCTTCTCCCCTCTCCCAGCCTGCACTAGTGAATAACATGGCCTCTTCCAACTGGTATACCAGGAAGGGTGTCGAACCTAAAGGTTACTGTTTTCAAATGCTGATGGCCTTCAGTATACTGTGGTTGTGGTAATGAGCCTTAACTTTTTACTTTTCTTTTTAATAGATAGTTATCAGGCCCAGCATTACAAGGGGAGAGTCAATTCTAA